AATGTTATTTGACTATTTCAATTATACATTTAAATAAAATTATTATTTATTGATATATTTAATATTTTGATATTAGATCAATTGATTAATGTATAATTTCCAATGATTGTGAAAATCATCTAATCCTAAATCGGCGTCTCCAGACGTCCCAGTTTAGGAACTCCTGACGCACCTGATGTTCTGACACCGAAGATAGAAATCTATTTCTAGTTTTTAAACCACAGAACAAGCTTTCTACATAAAAACCAATACATTCCATCTGCCAATGGAATGAGGAGTTCTACTCTTAAAACACGATAATTAGATAAAATACACTTGAAATAAGACAATGATTTTTTTTTCTTATTTCAAATGTAAATTATCTTGTTCCAAATCTAAATAAGTCCTTTTTTCTTAAAATATGTGCATTTGTTCTTGAATTGAGAATGTAAAAGAGACATTTTGCCAATGGAACAAGACAATTTACATTTAAAGTAAGAAAAAGCAACTGCATTGTCTTATTTCGAGTGCATTTTATCTAAATATCTTATTTTAAGAGTTAAAATACTCCATTGGCAAATCATCTCATTTACCTGCTCAAAATAAGGGTAAATACACTTAATTTAAGAATTCCTTACTTATTTCTAGATCGTTTTTCCATTGTACCTCCTCAATACAACAAAAAAAAAAAACTCACTTATTTTAAGAAAAAAAGAATGATCTAGATTTAGACTGTTTTCCAGTGCACTGGAAAAACGATCTAGAAATAAGTAAAAATGTCTTAATTTAAGTGTATTTACCCTTAATTTGAGAAGGTAAATTAGATAGTTTGCCAACGGAATTTGTATTTTTATCCTTAAAATAAGATAATTAGATAATATGCACTTTAAATAAGACATTGCAATTGTGTTTTCTCATTTAAAGTTTAAATTTTCTTGTTCAATTTGAAAAGTGTCTCACTTATCTCCTCAAACCAAGAACAAATGCACTTATTTTAGGAAAAAATGACTTAACTAGATTTAGATTTTTTCCAGTGTGTAACTTTATTCAGACTTTTTAATCAAATATTCAGTAAAAAACAAAAAAACATGAGAACTTGTTTGGCATCAATCCTTCATAGGGAAAGACTCTTGTAACCAGAGGATATTAATAATACTCAGAAAAAGGATTTTATAAACGCATGAGCCCACAGGCTGACATTATGCAAACAGCTTCTCTCTTGTCTCTGGCAGACAGAGGAAAGAATGTTATTGTATGAAATCAGTTGATCGGAGCCAAACCCACACAAGGCCACCTTTGTTTCACTCGGTCTCTGCAGTGGAAGATCCCTGCTGTCAACTCAGCACAACACACCGCATCACCGTCAGTATCAGAAGATATGCAGATTCATTACATCTGTGGACAAAAGTCTGCACCAGAAAAATGTGTATTTACCCTTCGTTGAGCAGGTAAATGAGGTAGTTTGCCAACGGAATGAGTATTTTTTACTCTTAAAATAAGATAATTAGATAATATGCACTTGAAATAAGACAATGAAATTGTATTTTTTTTATTTTAAGTGTAAATTGTCTCATTCCTCTGGCAAAAGGTCTCTTTTACCTCCCGAATCCAAGAACAAATGCACTT